GTGCAGCATCTTCTGGAAGTCCCTCAACCAGGCATTGCAGCAACTGGTGTCTCAATATGCTTTTACTACTTAGCATACTTAGCATCATCATGTAGATGTCATGTGTAAAACATCATGGAGTAGTAAATTCAAGTTGGTCGCAGTGTGAAGTGCCACAAAGATTTTTCAAACAAAAAGGAAAATTTTTATTCGGATTTTATCATCACTGGCAGTTGGCATTATTGATATCCATTAAGTGTTGGATTTTTTCAGTTGTCATCAATATTCATGAAATTTATAAAATTTTCCAACCTCTTATTCTAGGTACGGTCTATGGTTACTAGGATGTTCACATGATTCAGGCAGATCTCACGCTACGATGTTCTTCGGTCTTTTATTTTATTTTCAGACCATCCTTGAGGAGTTTGACACTCAAGTTGGACTTAGAATCTTATATAATGTTGTGAGTTTTTTTTTGGTTTTGTTCTATAAATTTCACTCTGCATAGTAATATAGTTTTAATTGTTCCTTAACATTTTTACCTCTACATAATTTGCGAATAAATAAATAAGTAACTAAATAAATAATTAGATAACGAATTGATGTAGTTCGTCTTAAGTAGAAGTTTTCAATAATGGAAAGGAAAAATTTTAAATGAATACAATTTTTAATGTGAAAATTAATTAATATTCAAGCACCTGCGACTTGTTTACATCAAATTGAGTGCAATACTAATTTAAGTAATGTTTTCTATAATTCGAATTCCAGTTCTAGACCTAAGTAATAATAATTCTAAACTAACTAACTAACCAACCACTGCAATTGAAACCAGACGTTTTTCAAAAATGAAGTATCTTCGTTAAGAGAATGCTTAAGAAAGTGAAATTCCTTTGAGTTTTAAGGGGAACACCCACAAAAAAAGTCATCCTCCTACTTGTTTATGGCAAATTTAGTCTTGATGTAATTTCTTATTTTTGTAGATGAGTATGTTACAACTCTTATCAATAGAAGGTGATACAGTCAACGAGGATGAAGAATCGTCATCGAGGCAAATTGTATGTCATGTGTGCGTCGCTCTGAAACGTTACTTAGAGGCCCCTCCCTTTTTTTAAGGCGCACAAACTCCAACTAGGTGAAACAGGACTGCCAAGTGATAAGGTAAGCATTTTTTAACGAATTAGCAGGCTAAATTTGTGTGGACTGGTCATGATGCAACATATAAAGAAGTAAAAAACGGTGAAGGCAGACAGTATTTGAAGAAACAAATTTTCCTCTCTTTTTCTCTTGAGCGGATAATTTTTCATAGTTTCATCCACTCAAAGTTGTTCCATGTTTCTGTTCAATTTATTCCTAATCTAAACCAACCATATCTAATCCATCTATATTTTTTAACTTTTTCCAGCCAGGTTTTGAGAGTCACGGTTGAGGTGAGTTCAGCGTGGCAAAGAAATCAGGCCTGTCGACAGAACGCCACTGGTCTCGCTCTTATCAGAGCCTATCATCAGCGAAACCAGTGGCGTTCCGTTGACAGGCCTGA